GATCAGAGGAGGGCATCAGATCACCAGGAACTGAAGTTACAGATGGTTGTCGGCTACCATGTAGGTGCTGGGAATTGAACCCAAGTCTTCTGCAAGAGAAGCCAGTGCTCTTAACTGCTGAGCCATCTCTCCATCCCCATGAATACAAATTTTTAACTAGCCAAGAGGAAAGCTTATTTTAAGTAAAATAGATGTTTGTTTGATAAACATTTTGTTAGGAACCAGAAAAAATTTGTACCTTTGAAATTCAATTTTGTATTTTACCATCTTTGAAAAGGTTGCCAGATTTACCTCAATGTCACTTGAGTTACCTGAAAGTGTAGGTGAAAAGACCATGCTTTGCTCTACATAACACTTACTCATCAGAAGTTTCATAAAAAAGAAACAGAGAATTTAAGAGGGCCTTGATCATGTGAGTGAAGACAAATTCCTGTCTATGAAGACTTCACAGCAATGTAATGACAGTTAAATTATCTGTAAGTACAGGAAAAGGTCTTTAATTTAGTACAACGGGTTTCTCTTACATTTATGTGTATGTGTACTGCCTGCATATAAATGTACATGTGTGCAGTGCTTGAAGAGGCCAGAAGAGGGTGTCTGATCCCCCAAAACTGGAGTTAATGGACAACTGTTAGCTGCAATGTTAGTGCTGGGACCCGAAACTGGGTCCTGTGCAAGAGTAGCCAGTGCTCTTAACCAGAGTTATTTCTCCGGCCCCTACAATGGGTTTCTTGAATGAAGATAAGACTACTTCCTTCTAGATTTTAAGTTTATATAGACAGCATTTATGTCAAGAGAAAGAACTGGACATAGTTTTACTAAATTATCCAGCGGGAAAACACAAGAAGGAATCTGGAATGTGAACCTACATTATGTCTCAAAAGAGGTGAGAACTTCTTTTTTGTTGCTATTTGTTCAAAACTCTGGTCTCGAACTTAGGATCCTGCCTCAGCCTCCAGAGTGCTGACATTACAGGTGTATACCAACACCTGGGCAATTTTCTCCTGAAGGCTGGATGATGCTGAGCTTCTTAAAAAAAAAAAAAAAAAAAAAAAAAAAAGCCAGGTATCGTAGCTCACACCTTTAATCCCAGTACTTGGGAGGCAGAGGCAGGCAGATCTCTGTGAGTTCAAGGCCAGCCTGGTCTACATAGTGAGTTCCAGGACAGCTGAAGCTACAGGGACACTCTGTCTCAAAAAGACCAAAAAAAAAAAAAAAAAAAAAAGAAAGAAAGAAAAAACACGCCCCCCACCCCAAAAAAAACCAAAAAAGCAACAGATAGCTGGTTCACTAAAAAACAAAAATGCCTGGTGATCAGTTTGTTAAAAATATTTCTGAGCTACAGAGCTAAGAAGGCAATACACTATTTTTTATAAACAGGGAAAAAAGAAAAACCAGTCAATTCTCCAATTAAAAGCACTGGGAGTGCTTAAAAAACAAAACCCAAAGCAGACTGGGCCTTCAGGAGCACGCCTTTAATCTCAGTACTGAGGAGACAGAAGTAGGTGGATCTCTGTAAATTCAAGGCCAGCCTTGTCTACATAGTGAGTTCCAGGCCAGTTTTGGCTACAGGGAGACCCTGTCTCAAAAAGGAAGACCCCTCCCCCGCCCCAAATGAGGTGATGTATCTTAGATATATTTTTAAATATTATTTTATGTGTATGAGTAGACTGTCTGCATGTATGTAAGTGCACCTGTGTCGTGCAATTCCCACAGAGGTCAGAAGACGGTGACAAATCCCCTGGAACTGGAGTTTTGAACGAATGTCAGAATGTCAGCCACCATGTATGTGGGTACTGGGAATCAAATCTGGATCCTCTGCAAGAGCAGCCAGTGCTCTTAACTGCTGAGCCATCTTTCCAGCCCCAGATTTAACTATATTGTAAAGGATCATTTAAAAAAAATTTCAGGTATAATATTTAGTAATTCCCCAATCTTTAAACACACAAAGCATTTTAAATACATTTGGGGAGTATACCATTTCTAATTTCAAATGCAAAATTCAGCAATAACTCAAATTCATGACACCATATGTACAGCCAAATCACTACTATCAAACATTTAGGTACCTATTCTTATACAGAACTTAAACAAGAAAAAAAAAAAAAAAAGACTGAAACAACAGCATCACGAGGTAGTCACAGTATCTTCCTGTCTGAAAATGAGAGTAAAAACAAAAAGGCCAAATAAATTGATGATCCTGAGGAACATCAAAAATGAAATCAGATAAGCACCACAGCTAATGCCTGCAATCCTCAGTTACATTAAGAGTTTGAAGCCAGCCTGGGCTACATTAAGAAAGACCCTATCTCAAAACAACGTGAAAGAAAGATCAGCATCTTGAATTTCTGTTTCAGTATGTAAATACAGATGATGTAAATACAGCTGAATTCAAGCTTGTAATCTTGGCACCTGGCAGGCTAGGAAGTTTAAGGCTGGTTTGGGTTACACAGAAAAACTCTTATCTGAAAACAAAACAAGAATGGAAAAGAATGAACATTCTCAACGGTAGTTCCTTTTGTAAGGGCAAGTCTGACCAATTCTCAGATCTAGGTGGAAAGCATAGGATTCTGGACCATCAAGAGGGTAGCAGTGCTTAGGGATGTAGACCAGAGGCAGAGAGCTTGCCTATCATCCACCAGCCATGGGCCATGGGGGATGATAGGCACCACAAAGGGGAGAGGGAGGATAGTGGAAGGATTCAAGGTGTTTCAGAAGGACAGAAAGTTCCAGGACTAGATGCTGGAGTATGTCAAAGACAACTGTAAATATATTTTACTTCTGAGTTAGTACTAGTGATCAACAGCAAGCCAAAGCAAGTATTTACAGTGAAACATCAGGCATGCAGATAAAGGGTATAACTGTGGAGCCGAACATCATGAAAATTCACAGTCTATGTACATAATGTCGTATAAAACTAGTGCATTTGAACTCATGCAAAGTAGGTGCAACTGCACATATGACCACTGAACATAATCTTACAAATGACTGCAATGGAATACTGTCAAAATCTTCTATGGCCAACTTGTGTCTATAGTACAAGGCAACAATCTGAAATACTATAAATAACATGAAGATACAAGCATGGAGGAAAGTTATGCTTCTTCCTGATTTAAAATTATTCACTTACAAAACAAATTATTCTAATAAGAAAAAACTCATTATTTAACTCAAGGTTTTGTTAAATTTATTTTGATTTTAAGCCGAAATCACATGGTTTACGTTTTAAATGACTGGAATCTAGTCAGTGAAGAGTCTTAACATAGCATCTGCTGGTAATTTTAGATGAATACAGTGAAGCCCTCAAGAGGGAAGGGCCCATTTACCTCAAAGCTGAGTATGTCACAGCAGGAATGGTGACTATGGTAAAATGCCAGTGGTGTATAAAAAGATCATAGGTTATTTACTTAGCCTATACAAAAATCTACACATTGGATTTTCTGCCAATAATATATTTTCTTGGCCAGTTCAAAAAGCACCTATGGTTCATGTCTCACAAATTTAAAATCAGAAAATAGGAGCTAAGGAACAATCTTCATTTAAAATATTTCCTTGGACTGATGTTCATATAACAACAGTGCCTTTGACATTTCTAATTTCCAGTAACATGGGCACTTAAATTCATGATTCAAGAAATGGTAATACTGGAAGCTATTAATGAAAACCCAAGCATGAAATTCTAGATGCTCAAGGCATAACTGGTTTATGGTAATGCCACATATAGTGCATTCCTCGTTCACTATACATACATTGGAAGTGTAGAGTGCACATTTCTAGGGATTTTTAAAGCAACTGACGTATTTCTGATTACAATTGTAAAAGCTTTTAAAAAATCCTATACTTAATGTTAACTGTGAAAATTATGTTAAAATATTCTTACAGCAATATAATTTTGGAAAATTACAACTGACTAACAATAGGAGACAAATGACATCTTACTAGTAGGTCAGAGTTTCCTCTAAAGCTGATCACAATGGCAGTCTAGATTTAGTTTTGTACAGAGAACACTGTTGCATAGTCTACATGGTCATCATGTTTTTCAGTTCTTTCTGAATCCTGAGGCTGATTAGCACTATATGGATATACAATCATTTTCACACTAAAACACAAAGGAATACTGGCATTCTGAATAGTATTACTTTTAATTGCACTAATTTACGGTGGTAGGACACATTTACCTAGAAAAAAGTTGTAAAAGTGTGAACTATTTAAATTCTTTGTACTCTGAACTCCTGGGGGGAGGGGATCTACACATTCAAGCTGTTAAGTTATGGGAGGGGAGCACTGGAAACATTCTCAGACCAGAAAAAAAATTTGTCTTAAATCCTAATTTTTAAGGTAGCTCCTAAAGTCCCATCCACGATATGAGATACTGACATTTAACTACTCCAATTTATATAGTACAGTACTTTAGAGAAGTACAAAGAAATACTTTTTTAAAAATACAGGTATATAAATTAATGAAATTGGTATTTAAAAGATTTAATACAAGGGGGGAAAAGGTAGTGGTACCAATTCTTAATACAAATTATTAAGCATAGTTTATATAATTTCAAAAATTATTCACATTATTGCTCGATACCACAGCTGTATGGAACAAGTTCTTGGCACACATTAAACCATGTATAATTTTACTCATTAAAAACAAGCTTACAGGTAGGCCATTCAGAAATCTAAAAAGTTTTTAAATGTATGAAGATGGGAAAGCTGTATTATGTTGTATGTTTTTATTTTAAAGCAATAAGCTAATCTGACTTGAACTTAAATATCACATTTTTAATTTGAAAAAGTACATACAACTAGATTGAAAGTGAATAGGTAGGTTAAAAAGAGTATTAAATATGTCCTCCATTTATGAGTAATAATCTTCTATATATACCAATGAGGTATTAAACACCAACTTATTTTTAATTCTAGAACATTTGCTTTCTTGTCAAAACTTTTCAGGAATATATACCCATTCTACAATTATGTTAGCTTCAGAGACATTTTTCTTAAAATTTTATTAAAGGGGTAATTCATATTTTTATATATAAGATTTGTTGAACAATAAAAATAACTCAAGTAAGGCTGTTATCACTATCATCCTGATTGAAAATGAACATAGACTGATGCTACTCTATGGTGAACCTGAGCTCTGGATCTTTAGATACATGCAGACCATTCACTGATTTGTCTAGTAAAAAGAATTTAGTTCTACCTTACTGCCTTTGAATATAGAAATATTTTCAAAGTTCTTTAATATTTCTTTATAACATTAATAGATATATCTGCTGTAAACAAAGTATTAGAAACTGTATGAGAAAAGTCATGTCAGGTCCAAAAAGCTATTAAAACTCGTTTTAAAGTAATTACTATGGTAAATTTTAAAGGGAAGAAAAAAGTACTAATACAAAGAGTGTGCTTGCCAGAGTAGATAGAAAATGTTTTTCTAATGTTAAGAAATTTATAAATAAAGGGTTGTGTGTACCTTGGTGATAAAATAAAAAAGGCTGGCCACTTTTTATGCTAAGTTCAAATGTATATTTTTTTTTTTGAGAATACAAAAAGTAATCCTTGAAAATCAGAATACATAACAGAAAGAGCACAATAACTTAAGTATTAAACATCTGTATGAAATAACTTGCAAAGTTTGACAAATACGCACACATAGAACATGCGGTTATTTAAAAACAAAACAAAACAAATAAAAAAACACCACCCGATTCTGTAGAACCAATGTCATGTCACCACCAGGAGAGCACCAAGCAAGGCACCATTGGAAAGACAGCATATCCAAGAGTCTCTATAAATAAAGCAAATGCTAATCTGGTCGAAAAATTGGTGTCTTTGGTAAAAATTCTATGAGGATGACCTGTAAAGGGAGAAGAAAGACAATGTTATACTTTGTCACTTAAAAAAAAAAGAAATTTGAGTTGAGAGGGGACCCACTGAGGAGGAGGAAGGAAGAACAAGGTCAGAAGGAGTGGGACAAAGATAAGAGGGGGGCAACAGAGGGGTGAGCATAATCAAAACACATTACACATATGTATGAAATGCCATAATGAAACTTCTCATTACGTGTAATATATGCTAATAAAAATTTTAAATTTTCTTTTGAAAATCCACTCACATTTTAAAACTATTAATTTTTCCTCATTTTCTAAAGATTTATTTTTATTTTAGGTATATGTGTGAGTGTCTGCATATATGTAAGTGTACCCATGTTATACAATGCCCACAGAGTGCAGAAGACCATGCCAGATCTCCTAGAACTGGAGTTACATATGCTTGTGACCTGCCATCTGGGTGCTGGGAACTGAACCTGGGCCCTCTGCAAGAGCAGCAAGTACTCTTAACTGCTGAGTCATCTCTCCAGCTCAATTTTTCATTTCATTTATTTATTTACTTGTTTGTTTGTATATGTATCTTTTAGAGACAGGGTCTCCCTGTAGCCATAGCTGACCTGGAACTTGCTATACAGACCAGGCTGGCTTTGATCTCATGGAAATCTGCCTCCCTCTGTCTCCTGAGTGCTGCGATTAAAGATGTGTGCCACCATGCCTGGCTGATTTTTCATTTTTAAAACAGGCATTTATCTGATAGTGATCCTGATTTTTTGGACCTTTATCAAATAAAAAATAGCCTTCAGTTCTACGGGGGAGGGGGGAGACAAGCAACATAATGGAAGCCTGAGAGATAGAGGTGGGTGATACAGGTGAGTCTATTTGACGTACTAGAGAAGCATGTGTGTGCATGCATGTTTGAGTAAGAAATACTGAGATGTGCACACTAGGTATTTCAGGGAGTATGGGTTTATTTAATCCTAACAACCTAGGAGGCATTATTGTCTTCACTGACAGACAAGAAAACTAATGATCTGGCTCCACACAATGGCTCAGTGGATTTGCCTCTAAGTCTGACAACCTGAGTTCAATCACCAGAACCCACATGGCAGAAGGAAACAAGACACATACAAATAGATAAATTATAAAAAAAAGAAAAGAAAACCAGTTATCTCACAACTTGTAAGATGATCATGGATATAAAGTCAGTATTCAGGGAAAAACTGTCTAGGGAACTGGAGGGATGGCACTTGCTGCTCTTCCAGAGGACCTGGGTTTGATTCCCAGCACCCATACCAGGTGGTTCACAACTACCTATTAACTCCAGCTCCAGGAGATCCAACACCTGCTTCCAGCCACCATGTGTACACCCCCACCACACACGGCATACACACACATAAATCTTTTTAAAAGGAAAATGGAAAAAGACTCTAGTTCTACTGCACTAATTCTTAGGTGTAACCTCGGCCACTTTTCTGAACTTTTATTTACCTTTATTCACTAGCTTCCAACAAATAAGTGAGAATAAGGGACTACGGAGTGCTCAACACTAAACAGGGCATCTATATGACCTGTATACTCACCAAAGCTTAGAGAATGTCAGGGAAGTCAGGGAGGAAAGAACTTAAGAGCCTGAGAATGAGGAAGTGTCATGAAACCCTGTCTTCTAGACATAACATGGGCACGGCACTCATAAACTCACAGCATTTGTGGTTATTTGCAGTTATGAGCAGTTGGATTCCTGTGAGGCTGGGCGTGGTGGCTCACACCTTTAATCCCAGCACTTGAGAAGCAGAGGCTGGCAGATCTCTGTGAGTTTGAGGCCAGACTACAGAGTACTTCCAGGGCAGCGAGGGCTACATGGTTGAGACTGTCTCAAAACAACAAAAAGTTCCTAGTTAGGGCCAGGCAGGGATCTCCATAGGCATCTCTGTGACTTCTCGGCCAGCCAGGGTCACGTAATAATAAAAATGCCCAGTTACATAAAAAATTCAAGGTAAATTAAATTATGTCATAAAGTATGTAGTTCAGAATGCTTTAATTTTAATTTTATTTTCATTTCTTTGAGATAGGATCTCCCTGTAGCCCCACCTGGTCTGGAACTTACTATGTAGACTAGGCTGGCCTCCAGCTCACAGAGATCTGCCTGTCCCTGCCTCTGCCTCTTGAGTGCTGGAATTAAAAGCATGGCCCATTATACCAAGCTTTAATTATTTTTATGTTACACGTATGACTGTTTTGCCTGCATGTATGTAAGTACATCACATACATGCAATGCCTACAGAGTCCAGAAGAGGTCGTCAGATCTCCCAGACCTGGAGTTACTATCTGAAAATCACAGCATTTAGTTTTTTTGTTTTTTTTCAATGCAGGAGGAGAACCAATCCTGGAAATGTATTCTACCACTGAGCTATATCCAGTTAGGAATTAGTTTTTATGTTTTCCTTTCCAAAGTAAATTTAGGAACATGCAAAAAGTAAAGTTTCAGATTTAAGCTTGGTGTTTTGGTTTATAAATGTACAATAGGAAACAGTTTTTTTCAGAAGACCTCTTTGTCTTTTGAGACAGGGTCTCCCTGTAGTCTGCTGACCTGAACTCACTATGTAGACCAGGCTGGCCTTGAACCACAAGGATCCACCTGCCTCTGCTTCCCGAATGCTGGGATTAAAGCGTGCGCCACCACAACCAGCAGAAGACCCTTTAAATTTCCTAAATATCTACCCCTCTCCAAAAACCATACATACATCCTCTCTTACTATCTGTGAAGAAAATCCAAGACTAGTATTTCTAGGGGCCAACCTCAAACAAGTTACTAAATGTGCCCTTTTTATGATTCTAAAGAAGTATCAAGCAGGGTGTGGTGGCACACGCCTTTAGTCCCAGCACTTGGGAGGCAGAGGCAGGTGGATCTTAGTGAGTTCCAGGGCAGCTGGGGCTACAGGGAGACCCTGTCTCAAAAAGACAAAAAAAAGGAAAAAAAAGAAAGAAGTATCAAGTATCTTTCTTTCATCATAAATTAACATATTTGGCATAGTAAAGACAAAACCTACATTATTTAGGTCATGGAACAGAACAGCTACAGCTAGTCTTATGAGGTAAGGGGAGAAACACATAAAAAGTATCTTTTAAGTTCAAGGCCGGTAATGAGATTTGGCTTCAAGGTAATCAAAGAACCGGAAAACACTAACAGAAAATAGTTTTATGATAATTACCAACTATTTAAACATTCTTTTAATTCATCTTTTATAGATAAGATACTATAACCTATGAGGGTTATATGATTTCAAAGAACAGAGAAAAATCCCCAGAAATGTTATACTAGGTACTTCACAAAGACTCTGGTTTTAATTTCAACAATTAACTCTTCCTTAAACCTTTTTCTTTAAATCTAAAAACTTTTCAATATTTTAAAGTGAAACACTCACGCTCAAGGGAGAATTAATGAAAATCCATAATTTCCTAGGAAATTCTGAACTTTTCAAAAGGAGAACAATTATTCAAATAAATCAGAGAATCAATAACTTAAACTTCTAAAATAATTGTTATTGTGTATATACATATCAATGGTATGTATGTACATATCATCAGCATCTGTTTTCTTTTAAGATAACTTTACAAGGCAATATTCTAATAACACACTGAAAGATTCTCTAAAGGACACTGAGGTATACAGGCAGTCAAAGTCTATAAAGGCTAAAGGTTTCTTAAGCTCCAATGGCTTGGCTGAAAGGTTTTCTTCCATACTTGGAAACTTGATTAGCATTATATAAAAAAGCCATATCTGACTTGCTGCGTAACCAAAGTTGTGGTTATTCTTTATACAGCATCTAAAATTTCACACTCCATCAACACATGTTCAGGCTATTTTATCTTGGCAATTAATTTATTATTTTTCAGAACACAGTGAAGCCTTGTTTTCAAGTCATTCATAACTTTATAAATCAGTCTTGCACATGAAACCCATGCATCTGTGAACCGTAGAAAATCCTTGCACTCATGAGATTAAGCTCCTGACACCTTTGCTGATTAATAATAGTGGAAAGAATAAGAACAGAAACAAAATAAATGATCATTTAATAGAGAAACTCACAAAACAGCCCTTTAACTTACATATTCCATCATGTTATTCGTTTCACATTTCCTTTTGCTCAGTCTCCAGTGCAAGCACAGCTAGACAAGTAGGAGAGGAAAAGAAGAAAAATGAGCTCTATTTGACTGCAGCACACAGACTAACCCATTTGTCCACCTTTCATATTTTAGTTCAACAAAAGCATCTGTTTCCATACTGTGCAATTCAGACCCCAACAGTATGAAGCTGCTCCCTGTGGTACTCACCTTGTGGTATAACCTATTGTTTTCCCATTCTAATAACTTCTCAATCGATCTTCGTGTCTGGAAGACAAATGAGGAAAAAGTTTACTCTTGACTGGGTTTTAGAAAAACTTTGTTTTGCAGCTGCTTTTTGTGTGAAAAAAGGGAAGTCTAATAGGATGACAGAGCACAGAGTGGCCTGTAACACTATCACTGTTCTAGCACTTAAATAGCAAGCCCAACAGAAACAGCTTTTAAAAAAATAAAGTTTTCTTTTAAGCATTTCTGTATGAATTTAAATTACTTCAAACTTACTAGGCTATGATTTAAAATGATTAGAATCTAAACAGCAAATGTCATTTACCAACTTTAAACTTAAATCCCTACTTCTTTAAAAAATTTTTGCAGTATTTAAATAGTAATGAAAGTTTCTGAACATATAGTTTAAAGCAAGAATAAATATTAGTTAACAAAATTCAAATGGCCTTTATGGTAAATCCAAAAACAAAACTATTAGTTGAACACTAATAAAGAAAAAACCACAGTGAGTTATAAAAATCACACTAACATTGTACTTAAATGCTTACATTTAAAATAAAAGCCAGTTCACTGGTTAGTTACTACAGGGAGTTTTCAAACAGTGCCTAACTTTTATTTAAAGCAACATAAAAGTGGTATCTGATAATAAAATTTGGTTCTTAATCTAGTAGTACTGGTTTCGGGAATCAACTGAGCAACTGACTTCACTTGATTGTTGCAATACAGACTAACGACGTGGTCGGACCGCCTCTTGCTTGGGACTATGAATAAGGCAGAAGACACAATGCTGGAGCCAGGTGTTGGGATGAGACTAACCCTGCTGCAGGTGCAAAGTGGCAGCACTGCCACTCCATCAACTGCAACTTGGTGCAGCTGCAGCTTTCTTGGGAAGGAAGAAAGCATCTACTGCTATTAGTGTTGCACAACTGTAAATAAGTACTAATAATCACACAAAAATCTGTGTCAACCAAGGATGTGCTAGGTGAAAGACTGGTAGGAACAAATTGGTCTGAAGTTTAATGTTACATAATAAAATGGTAAGACTGATTTAAACTATCTACTGTAATACAGTTCTGATATTACCTTTTAGCATGTTAAACATGCTAAAGACACCAAAGTTACATAGTTGACCATTATAATTCATAACTACCAACAAATTATGAGTGCCTTACATATTCCCAACTTAGGTCATAAAAAAATCAGAAAATCAACTACCTCTCTGGGCAACAGTATGCCAATGACTAATTTATTACATTTTTTAGTCTTTTTGGCAAGAATTTTAAAGAAAAAAAGTGCCCTTGTTAACAATGATCAGTAGACCTCACTTGTTTCTTTGTAAAGATAGCCTTTTAGAAGCAGCTCTCCTTTTAAATGAAAATAGGGCAGCAGTTATGGTCACACTTTTTGTTAATTTAGTTGCCAGTCAGCCCCAAATCAAAAGAAAATAAGGCTGCAGAGTGTAATTAACATTCAGTTCAGTCGTTTTGTCCCTTGTCTAGCCCCCAAGCTTTGTTAAAATTGCCATCTGAATGCTGAAGGCTGTAGGGAAATCGATTTGATTCTAATCGCACCATGAAAAGAACATGATCTAACTGCTTTCAGCCCTTCGTAAATCTGTACTAGGTCTTTAGCACAATGCAACTTCCAATTTAAAAAGCACTGAATGTCTCGTCAATGACTTTGTGAAGAAAAAAGAACAAGGAGCAGACATAAAAATTCCAATAGTTGTTTAAGCATTAAAGTTCATTTGCATCACAGCGAACCTGAAAAGGGCTGACCTCTCAAACCGCCTCTCAGGTCTATGAAGTTGTAGCCTTGACAAGCTCACATTGACAGAGCTCATTGACTCTGAAAGGCTACTCTATCAATGGTGGAAAATGGCAATAGGTTCTACTATGAGCAGGCATCTGCCTGCCCACCCGCTGCTAAACCAATGGTAAAACCGATTCAAAACCTGAATCTACCTTGTAATCTTCCTTTCTAGGACCTTTTAATAATAGATTAAGATTACTATACAATTTGAGGTTTTACTTTTACTGATGGTTTAAAAGGGGATGGGGGAATGAAAGAAAATAGGGTAAGGAGAACAAGCTTTCCAAGTCTTGTTTTGTTATTAAAATTATATAAAAATAGGATCTAAAAACTTAATGCTACATTCTGCAAATATTACTCAAAGAAAAAAAGTTACCATATCATCAACTTATCAGAAATTTAAGCCCATACTATATTATACTAAGAATGGCACTACTAACTTAAAAACTTTTTATTTACTTTAAATAACTTAAATCAACTACAAATATTTGTATAAAAGATAATTACAAACTATGAACCTAAATTCCAAAATACTTACGTAGGAATTTTGAATTTACTCTTTTCCTCTAATTGGAAGTTTAATGATAGGATTGGATATTATAATTGTATCTCCCAATATTAAGAATTCCAAAGCAAACAAGCTTAGCTATGCCATATTCTGTATAATCATCTAAATATACAATATTTCTACACAGTTGGCAGTCTGAAGTAAAAGCTGTGAATTAATACCATCTAATCTTGCTATAAGACTTTTTTCCTGCTTGACAGGTGAAAAAAAAAAAGGCACTTGCACGTGCAGCTTAATTAATCACTGCACTTGACATCTCAATGATTTACAGCGAGGAGCAGGTGAGAACACACAAAACCAGAAAGGAGCTCTTGATTTAAGTAGAACATTTCTAGCACACTAAGGTGACAAGTATAGAGATTCTAGCAATGATTAAAAAAAAAAGAAAAAGAAACTGTGCCACAAATTATTTGTTAGTAACAACAAAGGATCAAATTAAATGGAAGAAAAAAGCTTTAACCATAGAGAATGTTTAATACTCTGCAATTATTTTTAGTTCACAAAATCAAAATATATTTTCAAGATGAAATACAATACTAATTTGGCAGATAGTGAAAAATATGACATTTCAATATTTATAAAAGCTATTTCAGAGCTTTTAAACGTCAGTGGGGAAAAAAAGCATTATAATTGTAGTCATCTAGATATAAAAATTAGGAGCTTATGTCCACAGGGCTGTCAGCTATTTCTAATGAATATAAAATTCAACAGAACCAAACCCTATAGCTAGTAACTGGAAAAGCAACTTGAATCACATAGAAACCTGTCATTTAATTTTAAATCATTATAATGACTTACGAATTAAAAATAATGCAAGTTAATATGCCTCAGCAAAAAAAAATATAGAATCTGTCTGTCAACATGAAATAAAACATTATCCTTCTGGACCAGTTTCTAAAACTAAATCATATTAGCTTTCGTAAAATAATTTAGTGCTTGAGAAAATCACTAGATTGATAGTCATGGGAACTAAAAATCTTCTGTTTAGCTGAAAGAACAGGAGAAAGGGCAGTGTAGGCTTCAGTACAAGTTCCCCACAGTGGGCCTTAATCCTTTTCAGCACTCACACCCTGGGGGTGGGAGGACAGGTTAGTGGTTCTTTACCAATGAATCCTCAGCCCTTTTGCCTACGAAGGTCAACAAGAAACCTAATTTTATCATGGATCCTTTAATTAAAAGGACCCAGACCACCAACGTACAACACATAAACAAAACAACTAATGCTGTCATGCAGGAAACCTGGTTTAGAAGAGGACAGTTCCAAGCACCTAGACTCCCACCAATCTCTCTCTCATCAGAAAGCTCATTCTGGATGACAATAATTTTAAAACAATGATAAACACATTTCTTCATTTCAACACCTTTGTGGTTATGTTTTTCTCACTGGCCAACTAGTTCTAATATAGCCATTCAGCTATTTTACAATAAAAATAAAATTTTAAAACATCATTACAATTACTGACTAGGCATTAATCAGTTAGGCTGAAGGTGAGCATAAGGACAGATATTTTAGGTTTCATTAATATTGTCTTTGGTATCACTAACATTTTTGATAGAACTGTGGAAAAACCAAAGCGTAAAAACTGCAAAGAATTAGAATTAACAAAATGGCTAATGGATGAGTAATCAATAATTAATAGTAGAAATGGTATACTCTTAGAACTTTGTTCTTAGAACAAAGAAGAATCTAAAGTAACCTTATTAAGAGTAAAATATATAGGAACCACAGAAGAACTAAACTACAAAAACAGAAAATTAACATTTCCTAAAAATTAAAATTTGATTTACCATAAGGCATTTTTGTCATTTCCCCAAAATACTGTAACGTCATAACAAATGAATTATTATTCCCATATGTAAGTTATGAGCTACCAAACAAATGAACAGGACAGGGAACCCACTGGATCATCTTGAATACCACCATTATTTTATATCCATTGTCAGTGATTAATTTATTCATACTTATTTGAAAAAAAATTTTTTCAAAATTTTACAACCATTTATAAAAAGCTCAGCTACAATTAAATCAACAATTAAAATTTATTTAAATTGGATTTGTTTGATGCATCAAAGATTAAGGCAAATTTCAAATGTACAATTTCTAATTTAAAACTCTAAATTAAAAATTTTAAACTGCTAAACTGAAACTTAAACTGCTAAATTTATGTGTCAATTAAGATTTAACTAGAAAAATGTTTTGAACATACTCATTTTATTTTTAAATTCTTCAAATAACAGTATCTTTATAATTTATGCAAAATTGAAACTGAGAATAAGTGAAACATTTAAATGTTTTTAAAACTATTAGAAAGAAACTATACAATTTAGAATGAATTATTTTAATTTAGAAATTTAGAAAAATTAATCAATTTACTTCTGTTTTTTCTGGGTTAATGTTACACCTCATATTCCAGTGATATGTTGAAAACTAAAAGGCATATATCAATATTATTACCTATAAAAAGTTTGGAATTCACCAACAAGATAAAAATATGAACTGATTCCTCAAAAGAAATTTAAGATTTATTTTTATTCCTTCAAAATAATTTTTGAACAAATTTCCTTTCTGTATGTAAAATATCCTTTTAAAAATTTGTATATGAACATTAACTTTCAAATAATCTAGACACAGAACACCCACTGAAGTATTAGAAAGCCAGTT